CGTTGACAACGTTCCAACCCACGCGTTCTACCCCGCCGTTCGGGTAATCATCCAGTGAAGGGCCGGAGAATGGGAACGGCATTACACGAATTGGCTTATCACAAACCAATTATAATAATTACCAGGAGGGAGGCATTCCAGAAATTATTTTTCACAGAAAACGTTTTTTTGCGAAGTACGAAGTCAATACGAAGTTGATATAATACAGTGATACAGCCACGTGCCAACTGCAACAAGTAGTATTTCGGAAATACATTTCCATGACATTGCTGACATGTTATGAGCTGAAACCTACTCTACTTATGGTTATGTCGCCTTCGGTAAAGAAATTCAATTTGACCAACGCCTGATTTTACATATGGTCAGTAATCTAAGAATTCTGCTAATTATTCATTTTACAGTAAGTATGATTGGCACTTAAGAAGGACCAGGTCCTGATTTAGTCTGGACAATTTCAAATGAGCCGATGAAAGCCTTTTCGTTGTTGGTTGCCCTTGGAGGCAATGGTTATCTACCATACTTAATCACACCCGCGTCAAATTCAGGCTACGCAATCGACACAAAGGTGAAATATACGAGTCTTAACTCCGCAAACCGTAAAATCTTTAGCACCAATCAAGGTCCAGTTGGATGTAATGCTGGCCCTAAAGATGTTATAGTGTCTGAATGTGCATGGGTAAATATAGGTGGGAACGCGGCGGGCTATAATACTACCATTCTAAAAATATCAATCAAATTAAATCTTCATCACGCTTCAATAATCATTCTTGCTAATGCTCCTAGTCTGAAACAGTCTGTGTACATGTACGGGATGTTTACATATTTTTAAGATGCAAATGCAACATAAATAGAATAATCTATGCATGCTGTAGAGAGCGAGAAGTAAAAATAGGAAGATGCTGTACGGTATGGAAATAGCCTTGGGTGATCAACCTTCAACAGACCTTTGATGCATCAAAATATAGCTGGCACCCTAGGCAGCAGCTTGTGTTGTGTGAAAATCTGACTCCTACATCAAAAGGTATTCATTGTGTTGTTTACCATCTACGATTCGATAGAATGAAGATCATGTAAGAAAAGGTGTTGGCAGACTTGCTATCTGCGACACATACTGAATGTACTACCAAAAGGAAAATGGAAACCTGTGCATCCTGATGATTTAGAATCGGTGTGATTTAGATAGTTGCTGTATTTTCCTAGAGGATGTAATAAAGTGAGGGAATAAAAAAGTGTGCCGTATGAATGGGAAATAATGTAACTGTGACCCAACCTTCAACCCTTTCAATCAAAATTGATTCTACGATCACTGGTACACGATGCATTTACCTTTGTCTCATTGATCATCAAATGTTTTGAGTGTAAACAATGCTCATATAGAAAATAGTATCATCATTTAGAAAATAAATGACAGAATTCAACTAACTTAATTAGTACAGCAAGTAATTTTGATTATGTTAACCTTCGCAGAAGGAAAAAAATATTGTTTTCGCTCTATTTCTTCTTCAACCGATCCAAACAAATAAAGTCAATGACCTGGACCAGAGGTCTGTCACCATGGTAACTGGTGGCAGACACCCTGTGGTATTGGGTTACACTATGTAACAGGACAGAAATAGATTTGCTGCTCGTCATTGCCTAGACGATCCCGTAATAGTTTTTTTCCAAAATTGAAATCATGTACAGATTTTATCACCGTATCACCAAATTTGGTATATTTTTCCTTCCTTAGTTCTCATGCCACACGGTACTTCCGGGTCTTTCTGATTGTTGCTCGTCACTCCTCCGATGTCACAGGTTTACAGTCAACAAAACCGCCAGCTATCGTACCGTGCGATGACGCACATGTGGTATTGTGATGCTCTGCCCCGGGAAAAGCTAATTCTGCCGGGTAATAGAGTTTCCGTATGGTCTGGCGTAGAGGGACAGATGAGATGCCTGTCCGGTGACAAAAGAGATCATTCATACCGTTTACCATGTTCCGGGACTAGGCCGCCTGCAAATTTAAAGATTACGAGTGGAATCGTGTTGCTTGGTATAAGAAAGTTTGTTTCAGTCTCTCGGTTCGGCATTTTGGCAGTGTGAGATGGTTAATCATTCTACCGATTCATCTCACTCACTCACTCACTCACTCACTCACTCACTCACTCACTCACTCACTCACTCACTCACTCACTCACTCACTCACTCACTCACTCACTCACCACCACCCACTCACTCACTCACTCACTCACTCACTCACTCACTCACTCACTCACTCACTCACTCACTCACTCACTCACTCACTCACTCACTCACCCACTCACTCACCCACTCACTCAATCCTCTTCTAGACCTAGTGGTTCTTGAGGCGACAGGAAGGATTTCCATCTGGCCCTATCTGCAGCTGCGTCCGGGGCTGTGTCCAGAGTCAGTCCCCTCTCTTTTAGATCCCTCTGTATTGTTCTCCTCCTCGTCTCTTATTTTGGACACCCTCTGTTTCTATTTCCTGTTGGTTGCCATGTTAGGGCAACTCTTGTTATTGAGTCTGGGGGCATGCGAAAGACGTGACCACACCAGGCCCATGCATCTGCCTCATCATCTACCAATTCATCTACATGACAAAAAAGGAGCTTGCATAGCTAAAGATAACCTTCACCTTTCAGGCAGAGCGGGTTATCCTCAGATCAGGCACGACAAGCGCCGGATTTCGCCTTTTTTGACCAAAAGGTCAGACGTCCGGAAGCCCCCGGCATCAAATCTAAGAACGATTTCCTGTATGTGGACAAAGGAAACTCTGCCCACTCGTGCTCAGCCGGCGGTTTTTCGTAATTCATTGGGTTTTGTGTTTAAAGGACGGATATGGGACTCATAACCGGAGATACCTTCGGACTCATAAACAGGATATGGGATCTAGGTCAGATTGTTTGTCTTCCTGGTCTGCTTTTATGTAATAGATAGACCATGAGCCAGGCTAGCCTCCGTAGCAGGCTTATAGAACTAGGGGTTTGGTGGTCTTCGGCTGTTTTCTGATTAGACCAGTTATAAACGGGGGTAATTCAACCAGGCTAGCTATGTTGTATATATGCAATCAGAAAATAGCACATAAAAGCTCCCAAAAACCCTGAAGGAGGCTAGGGCCAGGCAAGTTTACTGGGATATAGTGTTGTTACGCCCACAAGGGGACTGACTGAGTCCCGAGGCCACAGTTGAGTTATTAGTACCACACTTTTTAGATAGTACCACACTTTTCTGCAGTATGGGGATATAGACATAGAAAATGAAGGCCTTTCATTAGCTGAGGGGTAGTGGCCATATTCTAAGGATAGGTCGTTCGGTGTGATATAGCCAGCTGCCGCCGCGCCGCGTGCCTGCGAAGCTGGTGTTTTACGCCGAAGGACGGTTATACCGGCTATACCGATACAGATATGCAAGGTAGATGTTCCAGTGCGCGATGTCCAATGACCAAGTTAGAGTTTGCAAATGCATAGCCTACTCACCAACTGATACTCGCTCTCGCAACGTTCTGGTTCAGGAAAATATGGCCAATGATGTCCTCTAATCTTACACCAATTAGAGCCAATGCAATTTATTTAATGGTTGGACGTTTTTATGACAAAAATTGCTGAATCATCCATTGATTTACTTATATCATGTTTTTGCATATTCAATGTACTACTTAATTGCTTTTAATGTTTACATGTAACGTTAGGCATATTTGTGTAGAACATACGAAACCATGCGTTGGAGTCTATTTGTATAAAACATACCAAAAGATGTTTTTAAGCCATTGCCACCAAAAGGTGCTCATTAACCAACAGAAACACACCTGAAGCAGTTCGCTTATAAATATTACAGGAACTCTATGCCGTTGCGATGCTGCAATACTACAAGCCCCTGGGGAAGCTGACGTTACATTGAAGAATGCAATACTCGATAGAAAGCAACGATCAAGGCAGGTCGATTTCTTAGTAATAGCAATTACAGTGTCGGGTGACTGGTGAAACCGATATTTATATTGTTTTTTGTTTGAAGAGTTGTGTTTTGTTCTTGTTCATGGAGCGCAACTATAAACTTCGTAAATACGCATGTGGTGATAGATCGCGATAATTACTTTTACAGACTTTATTTTAGTTGCACGGTATTGATTAAAACCTTTGTGTGTTTATTGTTGATTTTGTGATGTGTGTCTTTTAAATGTTATTTTACTGAACTTTTTTTTGTGATGTGTGTCTTTTAAATGTTATTTTACTGAACTTTTTCTGTGCCATATTATCATGTCATTCTAAATGTGTTTGATCCTTGGAAGATTAGCCCTGCAGGGCTAAAAGGTTTCGTGATAGATGAACTGCAAACCAAACTATGTCCAATACTGGCAGTGGCCTAAGCCGATATTTCAAGATAGCAGTGTTGACATGTACTGATGTATAACTTTCTTACACAAAGGTTGTGATCATACTATACATTATACTCGATTGTAACACTTTATCAAAGACTTGTGCTAGCCCTTACTGTTTGAATAATTAAGATATGTTAGGTTTTATTCGACATTAGGTCTTATCCAACATTTATTTTATTGTTTGTTACTCTCTTAATGTAGTTTGCCATACATTGTACCTTGTGCAATTGTCGTGCAATAAAGTTCTATCATTATATATTACTCTGAAAATCATTGCCGAGGTATGAGCTGCTAATTTGCATCGTGTTCGGTGGTGATGACATTGACCGGCGTTGATTTGTTTGATGACTGGAAGAATTTAAGACGTAATTCTCGCGTCTGATCCTGACCCAGGCCAACTTTCTGGAAGCGTTGCCAGCTGCTAGCAGCTACCGTACAGCCTTATCTCCAGATCACGTGGCCCCCTTGTCAAGGGAGCGCAACCAGATTACGATACGGTTGGAATACGACCCACGCACTTTGGCGGCCTACGCACAATGATTGCGGCCGTCGGCAAGCGGAGCAGCACTGGTGAACAAAAGTACGGCGTCCCTGGATGTGTAAACAGCGCGTGTTTGTGCTCCTCGTCATCCCATTCATGAGAGCAGTAGATTTAACGGGATTGTTTTTTTCCTACCAGGACGTACAGTGGAATAGAGGCGGGGGAAATGAAATTTGTCACCGTGGGATTCTGCAAACGACGAGGGACGGCAGTTTTATGGTTCCAGCCGTAGGCAACAGGTACCGGAGAAACTGGTGAGTTTCCTTTTATGATTTCCCTCTTGTAGAAAGCGGCTTGTTTGTTCGCGATAGGCTCTGCGTTCGACGTTATCACTGCAATTGGACATCCAATAACCGTAGGGTCCTGCAAGGGTTGAACAAATGGCGTCATCTAAATGGACCTTTTCTTTCCTTGTGCAAAAATGCGTCTGTGCAAATTTGTTGCAGACGGGCGTCGTTGGAGACTGAAACGTTATATCTCCGGGGAGAATTTCATGGAATTATGACTCTGATTCCCCGCATCACCGTGGCGCATTACGTTCAAAGATTTGCACAGTAATCAAATAAATGTCTCTCACGTCGCTTTCATCTGATGTTTTCCGCATGAGCTTCTAGGGACTAATTTGCATGAAGTGGGCGAAGCTGCAGGAAGGCCATTCCCTGTTAGTCCTCATCTTCAGAGCAATTGCCCCCGTAATACTCCGGTTACATGCCAGTGCGTTTATCCTCCAGGGAGAGTGTGGCAGGCGGCTCGTGAACACACCACCCAGCCAGCGCTCTTCTCTGTGCACGACCGGGCGGACATGATGTTTTCACAAGGGCACGTCGTCAGTGTGGCGGACACTTGTACGGCGTGTTGGTAGCGGGTTCTACGTGTTATGACGGCGCCGCGCCCGGCTAGGACGGCCACCATGCAGCGCTCCAACACCGCGATGAGGAAGAACCACCGGCGGGCCAACCAGAGAGGCGCCGCTTACATCTTCAACGACAAGTGCCCCATCCTGACGCCCGAAGAGGAGCGGTTCCTGACCGCAGCCGAGTACGGCGACATCCCGACCGTACGGAAGCTACTGGAGGAGTCGACAACACTGAACGTGAACTGCGTGGATTACATGGGTCAAACCGCTTTGCAACTAGCGGTGGGCAATGAACACCTCGAGGTGACAGAGTTACTCCTCTTGCAGCCCAACATCCAGAGAATAGGAGACGCATTGCTCCTGGCCATCAGTAAGGGATACGTCAGGATAACAGAAACGTTGCTCAATCACCCGGCCTTCAGCGAAAAGCACAAACGTTTTGGCGGCCTGCTGAACACCAGCCCCACGACGGAACAGTTGGAGGGCGACATCGCCGAGTTTTACCGGATGGACCAGGACGGGACGCGCTTCTCTCCCGATATCACCCCGATCATACTCGCGGCTCACTGCAATGAGTATGAAATCGTACAGATGCTGCTCATGCGGGGAGCCAAGATCGAGAGACCGCACAACTACTTCTGCCGGTGCGAGGAGTGTATCAGGAAACAGCGCTCCGACTCCTTCAGCCACTCTCGGTCGCGAATAAACGCGTACAAGGGCCTGGCCAGCCCTGCTTACCTCGCCCTGTCCAACTCGGACCCCGTCATGGTAGCCCTGGACCTCTGTAACGAACTAGCCGGCCTCGCCAACATCGAGAAGGAATTCAAAGTAAGTCCAGAAATAATTGCTATATTTCTATTCCATCTTCTTCATCATTACATATAGATATACTTTTATTCACATCATTCACACAATTATAATTGAGGAACAGTATATGCCATCAACTGTTGATTCAGTGAATTAGAGAATTAAAACAAAATACACATTGATAATGATTGATAGATTCCTATTCTATCCCGGATCTCATCTTCATGTTGTAAACACTAACTTTTATTCACAGTGCCATATTCACAGTGCCATTGCATACACAATTAGAATTGATATCGTACTATCAAACTTCATACGGCATCAACTGTTGATCCCAAACGCTACTGCATGTATAAGCATAAACCGTCTTTATCCTTTAGCGATCATAATGGTCTCCTAAACTCACACAGGAATCACATTTTGCCATCAATGTCTATCCAAGATCTTTACGTTGTACTGACACTGCCACTGTATACGAATTGATATCGTACCATCAGACATCATACGGCATCAACTGTTGATCCCAAACGCTACTGTAAGCATAAACTTTATCCTTTAGCGATCATAATGGTCTCCTATACTGACACAGGAATCGTATTTTGCCATCAATGTCTATCCCTGATCTATACGTTGTACTGACACTACCACTGTATAGACAATTAGGATTGATATCGTACTATCAAACATCATACGGCATCAACTGTTGATCCCAAACGCTACTATAAGCCTTTAGCGATCATAATGGTCTCCTATACTCACACAGGAATCACATTTTTGTCATCAACGTCTATCTACAGCCTATCCCAGATCTTCATGTTGTACTGACTCATATTATTCACACTGCCACTGTATGGACAATTAGAATTGATATCGTACTGTCAAACATCAACTGTTGATCCCAAAACGCTACTATGAGCTTTATCCTTCAGCGATCATAATGGTCTCCTATACTCACACAGGAATCACATTTTTGCCATCAAAGTCTAGACCCATGTCCAATTAATTCTCCTTGTCTCCCGTCTTCCTGTACAACCTCATCTCAGGCAGTAGCCAGAGTAATCTTACCGATGATTTCCTCCCTGGCCCCTCGTGAGTGACCACATCAACTTTTCCAACAACACTCCTTATCAATAATTCATATTCCTTCCCTTCTGTGAGTTGCGGAAGCACGAAGTAAAATTCATCACCTCATAGCATGCAATACGTTATGGGCACAGATGCAAAAATACTTAAGGATCATTTACCAATGACGATGAGTTCAAGCTAATTTGATATATCTTTATACCACTTATCTTACAAAGTATAGCGGCTACCGTGTCTTCCCATCTATGACAGTGACTTATTGGTGAACGATTAGCAGTATGAATAATACATGTAATGTAAAATCTGTGAATATTCATAGCAAAAAAAACCCTCTCAGATTAGCTGCATTGAATGCGACATATTTCATGCATTGATGTAGTTAATATCGAGGATTTTGTGTAAACTATCCGTATTTTACAAATGAGACGGCAGAATATTGGTGAGCTTAAATTAACACTTATCTGTGTGAATAAGCAGCATTGATGAGCTTGTCTCTCCTGTTCAAAAGGGATCGTATATACGTTTTATTATTGTCATGTTTATTCATTTATCTATTGTTTATATTTTACTTTCTATGCTTATTTTCATAGTTTAATTATCACTATTCTATTTTACTTTTCACTCACGTGGTAAATCATTATTCTATACGAACATATTCCTGCCACATCCTCCCCGTCCTCCTTTATCTGAACACAGTTACTGGGTAATCTAAGACAAAGTTGTTACACTGAAACCAATCGACACAGACCGACGGCGGGCTATGAGTACTCTACCAGCACATTAGATCGCCTGAACCGTGCATTTGCTGGGTATTGAATGAACTTGGCTGATCAAACATGTATTGTAATGACGTACAGCGTATGGTTACAATCCCCGGGGTAACCAGATTCTGGCGGCAATGGCCTTTGCGGGCCACATAAAAGGCAGGAAAAATACAACCGCTATCCGTGATATGACATGATATGATATGACCCAACCATTCAAAAAGGTAGATTCGTATCTGTTGTAGATTCGTACATGTAGCGGTTGGTGTTCATCACCAAAGGTTTCTGCGCTACTGACTATTACATGAAAGCACGCGCGGGAAAGAAACGCTCGTCATGTGAACAAAGACCAAGGAGGTTTCAATATCTGACTTGCAAAGACAAAGTGACGTTGCATTCAAGCTGCTGGCTCCTGTACCATTGCTTGAAAAGCCCTTGATGTCCTGTTTGGAGTATGCTCGTATACTTAATAGCGTGCTGCAATCCTGGCACCCGACTGTAAGGCCTAGGAGAGCCACAGAAGTGTTTTCCTGTGCAAATACAAGCTTCGTCGCAAATCCAACGGTCTTTGTCTGTGCATTCAAATCCACAAGCCTAAGGATACAGCCTGACCCTTGATGCGACAGGCGGTTGTCAACTAGTATATTTAAATCAGTCGTTATGTTTGACTTGTAATGTATATTAGCTTAAATTCTAAATGAAGAAGAAGAAAAAAAGCAGGGAAAGAATCCTAACACGGATCCTGACTGATGTAGAGCCTGTCTTTACCTAAGATTATTACCATCATCCTTTTTTTTCTTTTATCTCTCGCGGGACAGGTCATTAGGATTAACAGGGACAACAGGTAACCAATCAAACATGACGGATCAGGGACTGTCAGGCAGGCACCCCGCAGGTCATTAGTCAAGCCGTACGGCATCATTCTATGGTTTATATAGAAGACGAACCTTTTATTGCACGACAATTGCACATGGTGGGGTCGTGTGGCGCAACGGCAGCGTGCGTGACTCGGAATCAAGAGGTCCCGGGTTCGAGTCCTGACATGCCACCGATCACTTTACACGACTTAATTTCTCCACTAGACTCAAATGAAAATGAGTATTGTCTGCCCAGTATTCGTTTCTATGTGCGGGACACAACACCAGCAACAGCTGCCTCTGTTCCGCATGTATTGCATTGTTCCGCATGTATTGCATTGTTGCAATTTCAATAAAATAAAATAAAAAAGAAAATGGTAAAATGCATGGCAAAGTACATTGTACAAAAAAGTATTGAATAAGACCTAATATAGAATGAAACCTACTAAATCCTAATTACTCAAACAACAAGGGGAAGCACACGTCTTTGATAGTGTTACAATTGAGTTTCGGTATATTTTGTAATAACAAGGCAGTCTTTTATGTATCTAGCTATTTTTGCATTGTAGGGATCATTGGAAAAATATTCTAATCTGTCTCTAGCTTCAAGACTCTTGAAATCTGTTGTACTTGATTTGAGAAATGTAAATAGCTTATTACGTAAAACATTATATTTCGTGCACTCAATAACAGAGTGAAATTCATCTTCAATTGATGTCATCACCGCTATCGCTGGCAATCTCGACGAGTAGCCAATGGGCACAGCCAGCCGGCAATCTCATTACCAATGATTGAAGGTATCTGTGAGTGACCCGTCTGTTGATCGATATAAAACAAGGCACAGGCGAGGTTGGAATAGACAGCTCTAAATGAATCATATGTACAGGGATTAATGTTAATCTGCTGCACGTTGACACATCTAGCAGATGTGGAATGACGGGACTCCCCCTGTGGAGGGTGGACATGTTTTATTCATGGGGGTCGATTTGTTGGGTCTGCCGGGTTGTGCCTTTATTACTTGTATGGCTTTAAGTAATACTATTGCTGAGAACCTTTGGCCGAAGTGCCAAGTTATGTAAACAATCACAGACAAAGTGGTGAATGTATCAGCAACTAAGTTTGGTTACAAGCTCATATATATAAATGACTGGTTTGTTTGCATGGTATAATACTTAATACAAAAAATTGTTTTTTTTTCAGCCTAGAGGCTGAATTAAGCAGCTTTTACAATTACTAACGTATACACGAATATATAACATAATAACTGCAATACACAGTAAATATAATAGTTATCAAGCCAGCACTAAGGTTATGAAAAATATATATTTTTTGCGAGAATAATTGTTGTTATCAAGTACAGTAGGGCATCCTAAGCTTTAAACAACTCCTGGAGTCAGTTACCTGTGTTCAACCGGGTGACAGGTCGTTGGCGTTTGATATAATAACAAGCCGCCGCGTGAGGCCGGTGTGTTACGCCCAAGAGCTGTTATACCAGCGCTATATACAATACAGTTCCTCACGTGTACCTACCTGGTGTGAGCAAGACTTCATCGAATCCGTTATTCGCGTCTGCGTCATGCCCCAATTTTTCAATCTTTTGATATGCATAAGCATAGATGGTGCTTTAGGCTTACGCGTAACCTATTTTTTTCGTGCAATTAGAGAAGGCGATGCACAAGATGTAAGTCACTCTTCCCTAGTACTAGTCTGAGAGCACTCTCACACTTTCGCGGTCCCTTTAATTTTGCAGGAAGGTAATTATGCTTTGGAGTATGGTTCATACAAGCACGCCAGAAGCTCTGAACATAAGATGTTTCTTATAAACGCAATGCTGCTGTGATGAAAGGCTGTGTCTGTGACTACAATTATGTTTCTTCTTGTTTCGTAGATACAAAAAACATTTTATGTTAATTAACTTGTGTTTGTGTGCTTGTGTGTGTGTGTGTGTGTGTGTGTGTGTGTGTGTATGTATGTGTGTTTGTGTATGTGTGTGTGTGTGTGTGAGTGTGTGTGTGTTTTGTGTGTGTGCTTGTGTGTGTGTGTGAGTGAGTGTGTGTGTGTGTGTGTGCGTGTTACGATCGATGTAAAATAAAGAATCTAGCTTCTTGAAATCCCGTATTTTTTCCACCCACGCGTGACAATCATATTTAAAAGTTCTCAATGACCTTCAAACACAAAGCAAAGTCTCCACGGTTAGCGACTTTGCCAGATATAAAATGTATGAGTTTTTTCATTAGCTCATTACCCGTCAGATACCCACAACATGACCGTATCGTTTTGAATAACAGACAAAACGGATTACTGCAACGTAGCGCTG